TCCTCTCTGAAGTACATAGATAGTAGTGTCTGGTGCACATTTTCTGAATTGTTTTACAGATGCTAAAACCCCCACCAAGAGAAAGACATTAACTACTTGATGACCATGAGCACAAGGTCCCTAGGCCTACTGAAATCTAAGGATTGATAATGTTAACCCTTGTGACACCACCCTGTTACCTCACCAACAATCAATCAGAGCATTGTGTAAGAGCTGATCACAGTGCCCTGGGACTCCCCTCCCTCACCTTGCCCTAAAAATGCTTTGCTAAAACCCATCAGGGAGTTTCGGATTTTTGAGCATTAGCAGTCCCAGACTCCTTGTATGGTGCCTTACAATAAACACTGAACTTTCCTTCAACACAACCTGGTGTCAGTAGATTGGCTTTACTGTGCGTGGGCAAGCAGACCCAAGTTTTACTTTGGTAGTATTAAAAGAGAAGGACTTGTAAATATATAAGTAGATTCTCTGTGTTGATTCAAGTCATCTTTAGTATAGCATGTTTATTATTATGCTTTACTATAACATCTTTATTATTTATTATAATTATAAATTATATCCGTTATAGCATTACTTATTTACAATTATAAAACTACACATTAATTACTTATCACATAAAACTGATTAATGGCTTATAAATTTTGTACAAGTATGAAACATGAACAAGTAAAAATTAACAAACTAAAATCAATCAAATTCTAATGAGCATATTTATGCACTACTTCTTCCTGATTTAATCCTCACCTATTTTTTTTCCCAATTTTCTGGAACAATGTAAAATAAAAAAATCACTCATTGGGGGAGAACTCATCCTATACCACCAAAGCACAAAGGTTAAGTATATATACTCAGTTCCTAGATCCAAAATAAAAAACAGATTCTGAAAAGGAGAAAAATCAAAATGTATAAAATATCAGTCAAAATATAAAATGCATTAGGCTCCTGGGACTAAACAGTTAAAATTATCTGACTATATTTCTATTCAGAAAATGTGCATTTGTCAAATAGTTAAGAAGACCATTGTGAATCAGCTGCTTGAGCGGCAGCGGGACCACCCCTTAGCCATGACAATAGACAAAATTGGCTAACTTTAAAGAAAAGGCCAGCCATAACCATCACTCTTTTACATTCACTACTCACCTCTAGGAAAATAGAGTCAAGTTGCTCATCTAGACTCTCAAAAATATTTAGATTACAGCTCCCAGGGGGAAGTTACGAAAAAACACAGATGAAAATGACTGTTCATCATCAGTGGAGGCTTCACACTTCATTGAGAGCCCAAGTGGGAACATGATCTCTGAATCACAGTATATTGTCAAACATCAAGTGATGGAATGCTACTTAACGACTCTGTGATCAACAATGCAGGTGGCCCAGCAGCAGGAGAGAGCATCCAGGGTGAACGTCAGTCAATATATTAGACTCCAGTGCATATCTTTCTTTGAGAACAAAATCAGGTTTAGCTCTTCGTGAAATGTTTGAAATGTGATATCAAAGAAGGAAAGAAAGTGCTGCATTGAATTGATACACAGAACTGTTCTTTTCCAGGCTTTGCATGAAGGCAGAGGATACTGGGAATTTGATTGTATTTCTTATACCGTGTTAATTCTAAGTACTTAAAGGCTGCCTTGATGAATACATAATCACTCAGTACAAAATAGTGCAGACTTCTTACATGGGGGTTGTGGAACAGGAGTGTGAAACTACTGAGGAAAGTGCTTCACAGTCAAAGCTGAATCATCAACTCTAAACATGTTCACCTGACCGCTTTTTAAGGGCTCCAAAAAAATGATCTCTCCCTACCCATGCCAAAATGTATTATTCTAGGTTATGATTATTAGCTTTAGTCAAATTTATTTTTTTTAATTTTTCTTGGATATACACAGCAAAATGGTAAAGTGCTAGAGCCAGCTAACACTGGCTCACAAGAGCTGATTGTGTACATCTCTCCCCATCTTCATGTTCATTAATATCACACTAGTGGCTGAAATTGATGATGGAGTATCTACACCAGAGAAGTCAACAAACACTACAAATGGGGGGGGTCCCCCCACCCCACTCCCCAAGGAGCAGGTTGTTAAACATTTACCAACACACTATTGCCCCTCAGTAGTGTTGTGTACTCACTCAAATATTGTGCTATGGGTCACACAATTGGTCAAAAACAGGGAACAAAACCAATGACCTGAAGAGACATAGTTCTTGTTCTCCTACATCTTACAGTCTTATGTAGTTGCCATGCCCCTTTACTACTTTATTCCTTACCTTCACTTTCATATGTCCTACTCATTCCTTAAGCCATCTCTATTTTATATGACGCTAGTGTCTCCCTTTGCTAAACTTTTATTGCAATTATCAAAGTAATACATTTTGTAAATAATATCTAAATTTTTTCCCATGTATGATCTTCTTGACTATATTTCACGTTACTTCAAAGCAGACAAGTTTTAAACTTTGTTGCAAGGTTTGCTTAGCATGAAGCACATTGTGGGTGGCAGGAGCTGGGAGACAGGGGAACACTCAAAATTTTGGAATTGATTGAGGGGAATGCTTTTCTTTTAACATTTAAATAGAATGGTGGGGCTCACACATTTTCCACAGGCTCCCCTCTAATATGTGTAGGACTAGGGAAAGGAGCATAAACAGAGAATCCCAGCCTGGCTCTCCCCTTCTCTTCTCACCCTCTGACTCTAGCCTACAACTGTGAGGGGCCCAATGCTTAAGTGTGGTAGGGTGATCAACCCCCTCATTTTGCCTGGAACTGAGGGGTTCTGGGGGTTGCAGGACTTCAATGCTAAAACTGGTACAGTCACAGGCAAACTGTGATAGGTCATCTTTCGGATTAAGGAAAGAGGATTATGCAAGCAGGTCCAGATAGCAACAAAACATCTGCTGGTCAGAGATTTCTAGGGTTTTGGAAACACAAAGCATGGCCTGGACAGGTGGTGGTGAGTGCGTGATAGCACATGAACTGTGGTTGGGTACCTTCCTTTTACCTCACACACTCATCTCTCCCAGAGCTATGATATATTCTGGGCATGTAGTAGTAGAAAAGATACAAATATGTTTTTAAAGTAAAACATATTAAAAGCATGTTCAAGTTACACTAATTTCTCTTCTTCAGTGTTGCAAAGCCTTCCTTTCTGACCTCCCTGCATCCATTTTTTGGCCCCTTCCAGTCTACTGACCATATTGTATATATTGAGTGATATAACCTATGTAAATCTCTTTAGTGTGTTCAAATAAAAGAGCAGGACCACTAACTTGATAAAATGGCCCACTGTGATATGAAAGGGCCCCCCAATCCCACTGGACTCACATTATCCCACTCACCCCCTGTGCCACTCATAGGCACACTGGCCTTATTCTGGTTCCTTCCTTAAATGGTCCATCTTCTTGCCTGCTTCAGGGCCTTTGCATATGCCAGGCCCCATGTGCCACTGTCACTACGTGAAAGCTCTTTCCTGATAAAGTTTTCCCTGTCCAATCCTCAGTCTAGATCAAGGTTTCATCCCAGGCTTTCAGACCTCACCTGCTTTTCCTTTTTGCCACATTTTGTACTTTGTAATACAATGACATGTTATTTGAATAATATATAACTTCTCCTCTAGACTTGTAAACTCAAAGAGGGCAGCATAATGTTACTTGTTGTTTATCTCCATATACAGATTATATAGTAAACAGGAACTATTTGAGGAAAACAGAAAGGCAGAAATGAAGGAAGGAAGGGGAATTAAGCAAGCTTCTACATAATGTGGTAAAGTTCACTACACAAGGAGTTTTAATATTCTACTCTAATATGGGTATTTTATAAAACCTCACTCATTTTAAGAGCAGGAGTTATTTTGTCACAACTTATGTTTCCCTGTTAAAGAGAAAGCATTAGCAACAAAATATATTCACATTGGAAGGATTTTGTTCCATTATGTCATGGATTTGTGAAACAGCACCAAGGAATCAAGAACGCTAGAAAAATCCAAGTAGGGATTATATACTATTTGTAAATTCTTTTTCTCTCTTTCATTTCCCTCCTTCCTCACACTCTGATCCTGATCATAATATTTTCACAAAATCTAATATCAGAAGAAAAAAACTATTAAGCTCATTCTCAGTAATGTGTAAAAGATTAATAAAGTATAAATAGTTACTTTTTTTTTTCCCCACCTCGAGGCTAGTGGGATCTTAGTTCCCAGACCAGGGATAGAGGGCAGGCCCCGCAGTGAAAGCGCCAAGCCCTAACCACTAGACTGCCAGGGAATTCCCAATAGTTACTCTTTAATACAGTTCCCAGAAGCTGTAACATTTGAAAATGCAAATAGCCTAAAGTTAAAAAATTCAGTTGGTATTCCAATTATGTGGATGCCATTTTGACAATAAAATCATTCCATATGGCTGAATAAATAAAACAACCAAAGTTTCATGTTTCTAAAGCAATTATCAAGCAACATGTACAACAGATATCTTCTATCCCCGTCTCCCCTCTACTCTCATTTCTTCCTGAGCCTTACCAGTGAGCTCATGCCAAGAAACCACTTTACCCATGGAAGGTGACCACATACCCTTTGAGACATAGCAACTGATCCACAAATGCTGACAGGAGATATGAGCTCCGGGAAATGGATTATTTAGACAAACCAGACACAAAGTACGACTAGCTGGAGAGACATTACTCATTCAAATTCTAGGAAAATACATCTTTTATAGTTAAGACAAACCTTAGGGCAGAAGTTCTATGCCAGAGAGGGAAAGCCGGAAGGAAACGAGATCCTGCGAGGCTGCAGCAAGGTCCAATTCTCTACTTGGATGCCCGCAGGCCAATATACCCAACAGCCTTTCCATCCTGCGCATGTCCCAAATCCCCCAAACGCATGCGTAGAGTGTCACTGCATCTATGGTGGGGACGTTGTGAAAGAGGGTCCTCAAGTCCTCTATGGTTCCTGCGCGGGAAGATGGGCAATGTATATGAGGCGCGTGCGCAGGCGTGGAAGCAACCGCTTCTTTTCGACGTGCCTCAGAGATACCTGGTGTCGCCATGGGCCGCCGCCCCGCTCGTTGTTACCGGTATTGCAAGAATAAGCCGTATCCAAAGTCTCGCTTTTGCCGAGGTGTCCCTGATGCCAAGATCCGTATCTTTGACTTGGGTCGGAAGAAGGCAAGAGTGGATGAGTTCCCACTCTGTGGACACATAGTGTCTGATGAGTATGAGCAGCTCTCTTCTGAAGCCCTGGAGGCCGCCCGAATTTGTGCCAACAAGTACATGGTGAAAAGTTGTGGCAAAGATGGCTTTCACATCCGAGTGCGACTCCATCCATTACATGTTATCCGCATCAACAAGGTGTTGTCCTGTGCTGGGGCTGACAGACTCCAGACAGGTATGCGAGGTGCCTTTGGAAAACCCCAGGGTACAGTGGCCAGAGTCCACATTGGTCAAGTCATCATGTCCATCCGCACCAAGCTTCAGAACAAGGAACATGTGATTGAAGCCTTACGCAGGGCCAAGTTCAAGTTCCCTGGGCGCCAGAAGATTCATATCTCCAAGAAATGGGGATTTACCAAGTTTAATGCTGATGAATTTGAAGACAAAGTGGCAAAGAAGTGCCTCATCCCGGATGGTTGTGGAGTCAAATACATCCCCAGCCGTGGCCCTCTGGATAAGTGGCAAGCTCTGCACTTGTGAGATCTTTTGATAGCACTGGCAATTTTGACCATGCTGTTCTGACTTTTGCTCACCAATAAATTTTATTTATGGTAAAAAAAGAATTATTTCTTAATTTTTTTTATACTTTAAAAATATCCAATTTTTAGAATATAGACTAATAGAGAAATAATTTTTTGTGTTAAAATTACCAGCAAGAGTTTTAATGACAAATGATAATTTCATTTCAAGTGAGAGTGAAACAATTTGTATGCCATTTATAGAGAAGGCTGTTGCAATTCTAACCCACACTTTTAACTTAGAGAGTCTAGGGAAATATGTCAAAAGTTTTATTTGTAGAGAAGTCATAAGTTATACAGCTATCATTATCTTGAATAAAAAATAGAGAAAAATCTGAGATTTACAGAAAAAAATCTTATTTTTTATAGAAAATAAACAATTGGGATGAAACTAATGGTAGGCATTAGTCATATTTCAATTACAATCCCTTTGAAACTAAAAAGTCTATTCTTAAACTTGTTGCTTATGTTTTCCTTATATATTTCTGCACATTATTTTTAGAATTACCTGTCACCTCCAATTATCAGCCTTAGGACAATTGGGGATCACTGCCAAAGGTTTCCCCAGACAAGCCTTACATTATCTTACACTGAAGAGATGACAATCCAATCTTTTCTTCATCACAGAAAGGTCATAGGTTGACAACCAAGTACATATTTCTTGATCTGAGTCCCAGTAGAACTAACAGAAAAGAGAAAATGACACTAAATCTGCTGTCTGTCCTCTAAAAGAATCCTAGAGAGAGTTTGCAGTTGTAGGTGTTTGCCCTACATTAGAGTTATGTTGATCATACAGGTGTTTTTCTGCTTTGTTTTATTTTAGAAATTACATAAGCTAAAGTTTCTGGGTCTCTTCTGCATTCTAAAATTCTGGTTATTTAGTTGTTTAGTTATTTGTTATTTAGTCTTCTAAATCTCAATCCTGCAAACAGTGCCCTCAGTTTTCTTTAGCTACTCATTTTCAGAGTCAACATATTAAATAAGGAACAAAAGGAATACTAAATAAACAGTATGGAAACATATGCTTTTAAAATTATTTTCATTTACTTAAAAAAATTTCTGTGTCAATCTTAAAATTTTGCATCTGACTTGATACTTCTTTCAGGCCCTTACTATGTCTCCTACTTGTGTATTTTAAGCTAAATTGCTGTTTTAAGCAATAATATTTATTATATCTAAACAAGAAGGATAACAGGTACTAAATAATATATGAATGTATAGAAAGGGCTTTTCAATTTCAGTAGCACTTTCTTTGACATGTTTTACTTTATGCTCTAAAACTCTTGAAGTTTTCTAGGAAATTAAGTCCTATGCAATATGCAAATGAGGGTGTACTTGAGCCAGATCTTCTGACTCCTGTCCAATCCTGTTTACTTTTTTTTTTTTTTTTTTTTTTTTTTTTGTTTTTTGTGCCCTTGTGGCCTCTCCCATTGTGGAGCACAGGCTCCGGACGAGCAGGCTCAGCGGCCATGGCTCACGGGCCCAGCCGCTCCACGGCATGTGGGATCCTCCCAGACCGGGACACGAACCCGTATCCCCTGCATCGGCAGGCGGACTCTCAACCACTGCGCCACCAGGGAAGCCCCCTGTTTACTTTTTACCGAACCATTTTAAAAAACAAAAAAAAACCCTCAACTTCAAAAAAATCAAAACGCCAAACAAAACACAACAAAACAGTTCCTTGGTCATGTGTTAATACAACTGTGATGCAGCTTTGAAAATATTTTCCATCTTCGTTATTCATCCTTATCTTTGGTCTCAAACTTTTCAAACATCTTAACCTTCAAACTTGGAACTCTGTACTCACTCACTAAATACAGGGAGGCAGCCAAGCATAAGCCCATGAATGTCCTTGCCCTAAGAGATTGGTAACTATGATTGTTTATGCATATAGATAGGTGGATGAAAAGGAAATGAAAGATTAAAAATTATTACATTAAACAACTAGTAGGAAGCTGTCATCAAGGTTTATTATT